GCCTCAAAAGAAATCTTCACGCATGCCTTGGTCAAGGCGTTCGTTATTATTCTCCAACTGGCACCTGTCCTCACTAATATCTTCCAACTATCACGTGACTCAGGAAGCGTACCACGTGTCTAAAGGTTAGATGCAAATGTTCCACCTTTATTTAAAACAAAATAGTAGGAAAGATCCCGCCAACAACTTCAATTTCCCTGACATCTATCCCTTCCAAAAATACTATCGTACTTCAGTCATCACCACATAATGGCACGCCTCGAAGTGTATCTTGACTGACATCCAGCACGGGTTTCGCAAAGCACGTTCACTTTGTGCGACACACAGCTTCTAAAACAAATTGGCTAAAAAATAACCAAATTTATCACGTTACTTTTGGTTGTTACAACCATTATTTGGTTAGAACCCATCGGTTGGTCAACTGGTTATTTTATGGGTTGCGACATATTGGTTACCTTGACCAACCGTTTGGTCAAAACCTTGGTCAATTGATAACCAAAATAAGTGGTTAAATAGAATTGGTTATTTTAACCATGCTGTCGCTTAATGTAACCGATGGCATAGGTCAGCGATAACCAAAATGTATTGGTTAAATCGTTTTCATTAAGTTAACCAAAGCTTTCTTTGAATGTTGACCATTAAAAAACGGTTAATTACTGGCCTTATAATGGCTAAATTTACCAAGATAAATTGGTTAAACCATGTTTTTTACGTAGATCAGGGCATGATATCACATGCACGGCCAATGATTTGGGGTAACGGAATGTGGGTTATATTTCGGGGTTAAAGCAATCACGAAAAACCCAATTTTTGTTAAATATTTGCATATTTTTCCGTGTTAAAACTGACATAGTTAAGATTTGGGGCAATTATTTGGGTTATATTTTTGGGTTAAAGTGATTGTGAATAACCCCCAAAGAGTTTGTAGATTATTCTATAAGAAACTGGTATAGCCAGTACTAGGAAATGTTTGAGAATGTTTTTGTCAATGTAACGAGACGTGTAGCTGTATTTTGAATGCGTTGGAGTCGATTTAGCTGTTCTTGTGGAAGGCCCAACAAAAGTGAATTTCCCATGTCTAGCCGAGATGTGACGAAAGAGTGGGTAATTTGTTCAGTAGAGAAGTTGCGCGTAATGTATTTTCTGATTTTGCCGATATTGCGGATATGAGAGATATGACTTTTTAATGACATGGAAGAGTAAAAAAAAATGATGCCCAGATTACGAGCTTGAGGAACTGGACAGATTTGATAATCTCCGATTGTGATGAAAGGAATAGTAACTTTTGATAGTTGTTGCGCGGAACCAATGATCATGAACTCGGTTTTGTCGTCATTAAGCTTCAGAAAGTTGTTTTGCATCCATCGACGAATATCAGATATGCAGGTCTCTATTTGTGCGATTACTGTATCGCCAGCTGTTGAAAAGGTTTGAAGGTGAAATAAAGTTGCGTATCATCCGCATACGTAATGGTACTGTAGATGGTGACGTAGTATGATGTCTTTTAGAGGACATATGTAGCCTAAAGAGTAAACCACTGAGGGGCAAGAACAGAGCCCTGAGGAACAGAATAATTAAGATAGACAGTGTTGGTGGCATTATACCGACACGCAAAAAATGCGGTCTGCTCTCAAGGTACCATTGGAGAGCTTGACCTCCTAGACCGACCATGTCACGCAGTCTAGAAAGCACTATGGTGTGGTCCACGGTATGAAAAGCCGCACTTAGATCAAGGAGGATGAGAGCGGTGATGTTTTGCTGATCTTGAGCTTTCAAAATATAATTTGAACACGTAACAGGGCTGTCTCTCTGGCGTGATTAGGCCTATAGGTAGACTGCAACGAATCAAAAAGCTCATTGGTACGCATGAGAGCGGCCAACCTGGAAGAGACAATACGCTACATTGTTTTTCCCAAAAATTTCAAATTGGAAACTGGTCTATAATGATTAAAAACCTTATTGTCCAAGCCGGCTTTCTTCAAAAGAGGACGAACGTAAGTAACTTTAAGGCTGTCAGGGAAAATACCAGTACAAAATGACTTATTAACAATTTTAGTAAATAACTGAACAATCACATCAACATAATGTTTAACCAGAGAAGTGGGTATTGGGTCAAGCTCGCAACATTTAGATGGGGAATTAAAATGAGCTTCTTAACTTCACTCTCACTGGCTGGTAAGAAAGCAGTGAGAAGAACATCACAACAATTTTTGGGAAAGTCATACATATTATCTGGAGAAAATTCACCACGGATATCCATTATATTGTTAACAAAAAACTCAGAAAAATTGAGTAGCAAGATTTTCGTCAGAGATAGGATGTTAAAATAAGGATTTTACTTTTATGCAACAACCGATTAACAATACCAAATAATTGTTTCTGGACTCCCAAACAACACTGGATTTGTGATGAAAAATAGGTTAATACAATTAGTCACAGTGCGTCGCCACTTCTGTTTCATAGTTGCCTTCGAATTCGACGAAAAGAGCGAATTTCATCGTTGAACCACGGAGAATCTGGTCGTATTTTACCGCTTCTCGTTCGAAGAGGATCCAGCAAAAGGCCCAGGGTTGTGTCATAAAGATTTACACAAGGTTAGCTGTGTCTATAGGCGAATTCTGGTGAGCGCTCTTGCCATTTCACGACGAAAAAATGTCAATGTCGATTCCCTTCAGTCGACGGGTATGTTGAGACTTTTAAGAGTGCAGGTTGCCGCAGTCGAAGTTCGGACATTGGCAAAATGATCCGAGAGTCCGGGATGATTGTGAATGTCCATGATGAGTGCCGCATCCTCACGTGTGATGATTAGATCCAGGGTGTGGCCACTTTGATGAGTTGTTTCTGTGATGTGCTGGACTAAACCATAATGATAATATGACAACAAAGTCTTGAACCGATTGGCAGCATGGTCAGGATGGGTTGTCAACATGGATATTAAAGTCTCCTGCGATTTAAGATGCCAGATGGATGAATCGGATACAATTCTATCATGTTAAAAAAATCACTAAGAAAATGAACTGATGTTGATATGGCGACCATACATGTCTCTACCGGAGCGATACACGATCACCAGCCGAAATGTTCTGGAGTTGCAGGCGATTGTCACATGAACAGAGTTAATGATGTGTACTCCTCGACATCAGATTTTAGTTCCATTGACAGACTGGACATTTAGAGATCGAAGCCCTCTACCTGTTTTGTGCAGTCTCGGCACATGATGAAAAGAGTAACCAGAAGGAGTTATTTCAGCGATTATCCAATCATCACCTGGTTTAAGCCATGTTTCGGTGATTGCAACGACATCGAGGTTGTTATCATGAACAAAATCCCATAAATCTAATGTCTTGTTCCGGATCGATTGCACATTCAGAGAACAAAACTGCAGGTTTGAATCAACATGAGGAGCCAAGACAGTGGGTCGTATGTATAAAAACTAGCATTTGCTTTTACTACCCATTTTTAAGCATTTACTTGCATTTGTATGAATAAAAATGAAGCAAATGCTTTTACTGGAAAGCATTTGTTGAAAGCTAAAAGTATTTAATTTTTACTTGCTAGCTTTCGCTAGACTAGAAGTGTTTACTTCATTTCGTATGAATAAAAAGGAGTAAATGCTTCAGATTTCAAGCATTTACTGGTCATTTTTCAAGGCTGGGTTGAGGCAACCTTGAAAATATAAAGCAAATACTTCTGCGCAAAAACTGCTGCATTTGTTAATATTAATCACCCCAAAATTGACACAAAACGTTAATAAACTACATATAATACCATACACTGTATTTTGACTAACATTTATGGGCAATTTTTATTATGTATTTTATTACTAGAATTAGAAACAATAATTTCGCATTTTGTTCACGATATGAGAAGTGTTAGCGTAAAATTCAGTGCGGCACAGAAATTTTATTCAACGGCACCCTGGGGACTGAACAAAATGAAATCATTTGTTTAGTTTATTAGGTCACCAATCTTTGCAAACTATTATTATTTTTAATATTTCAATAAACAAAACTCTTTGTGTATCGAATGTTCGTATGATTTTACCCACTTTAACACGTCTGTGATTTTTAGGCAATTGTGACGTCTACAGGACACTGTGGACCTTTACAATTTTCATGAATGATGAAAGCATACTTTTTGTATTCTGCAACTGCCGAAAAGTGTCATCATTTTTGCTGGATTTGAGGATCAAAATGTATGTACTACTACATGTACTGTATGCATCACCTTGATTTGGACTATTACACCACGTGTAAACCGGGTGTGTGTGTGTGTGCGGCAGTTCGTACACACAAAAGAAACCCTATTGCTGGCAATCATTCGTCCATACGGAAGCCGGATAGTGCCAGTCCCTAAGGGATGAATATATTTGGTGCAAACACGTCAGAATTTTTTTGTACATCGCCGCCACTTAATATGCGGCGGCCGCAACTTAATATGCGGCGGCCGCAACTTAATATGCGGCGGCCGCAACTTATTATGCGGCGGCCGCAACTTATTATGCGGCGGCCGCAACTTATTATGCGGCGGCCGCAACTTATTATGCCGCGGCCGCAACTTATTATGCGGCGGCCGCAACTTATTATGCGGCGGCCGCAACTTAATATGTGGCGGCCGCAACTTAATAACTGGCGGCCGCAACTTAATATGTGGCGGCCGCAACTTATTATGTGGCGGCCGCAACTTAATAACTGGCGGCCGCAACTTAATATGTGGCGGCCGCAACTTAATAACTGGCGGCCGCAACTAAATATGTGGCGGCCGCAACTTATTATGTGGCGGCCGCAACTTATTATGTGGCGGCCGCAACTTATTATGTGGCGGCCGCAACTTATTATGTGGCGGCCGCAACTTATTATGTCGCGGCCGCAACTTATTATGTCGCGGCCGCAACTTATTATGTCGCGGCCGCAACTTATTATGTGGCGGCCGCAACTTATTATGTCGCGGCCGCAACTTATTATGTCGCGGCCCGCAACTTATTATGTGGCGGCCCGCAACTTAATATCTCGTGTTCACCACGTGGTCTCGACAGCCAGCGGGGACCGGGCGTGCACGGTCTTGTCTGTCAGTCCGATCGATCGTATTGATGCTACCACTTGTATGTAAAGGCGACACTGGGGACGCGTACATTTGCACTTGGTAGCAAGCCTCGTCAGGTGAGATCAAGCCCATACTGTATGTTACTAACATTAACATCTTAAATTCGTTTTGTACCAGGCATTTTGGATGTGCCTTGTAAATGTACGTGTCATCAGTCAAATTGTAAACCTCTTTCGGCTTCCGGCCCTTATTTTGATTTTCATGACCTGAAATTTGTATTCTAGTGGAGACCCGGGTATAATATGGAACAAAAGATTGTAAAGGTCGACACAAGGAAATTTCTAAAGGTGACTAGGTATCCACCAGGATTTCACGAAATAGATTATTTTGATTTTACTCACAAACTTGGAATTTTCAAGTGTGTTGATCCGTCGCAAATTGAAGTATTTTATATATTAAAGGGGCATTGGGTCGAAGTTTCAACCCAGGAGAGTGATTCTGGTTAGAACAGGAGCATTTCGATTTCCACACTATTTTCTATTTGTACACGAGAACAAACAAAGCAATGTCTCCACAAGGATACAAATTTGAGAATGCGAGTTTGCAAAATTAATTTTGTTTGCACATTTCAGCATGTCTGAGCGGCTGTGGGGTGTACTTAAAGCCCGAGGTGTGCAGCGTGACACATTGGAAAAAATGCAGAACGAAAAGGTAAGGGTGCTCAGCAGAATTCCTAGCCTTGGCCAATGCTCTCGTCGTTATTCGTCCCGTACGCGGTCAATCGTCGGCATATATCCTCACGCGCTATGCACATGCATGTAAAAATACAGCGCGAACAGCGACCTCACGCGGCCACTATTTTTATGCAAATCAGTTGGAGACGATGTCGAGCCTTGGTTCAATTGTCGGCCAAAGCTTATGTTTTTCTTTACTTTGCGCTACATTTCCAGCGCACGACCTCGTATGCGAATACAGATAATGTAGGCGGGGCTTATATGTGGAGTGTCCAATCACACCTTGGTAAATCCGGACGTCATCAAATTATTTGCAGCTATTCCGGCTTTTGCGGACGTGACAGGAACCACAGTTTTTGTGCATTGGTGCCGTGTGCAGAGACACACAATGTGTACGTGTATGGATTATGTACGGTACCACGTTTCACTATGCAAGTTTCCACGCAACGATCGACCAATAAGAAAACGACATTTAAGGTCAGCTAAGGCTATTAACATAATGAGCACCGCCCCCAAAACCTCACATGGACGATTGAACCAAGGCTCGACATCGTCTCCAACTGATTTGCATAAAAATAGTGGCCGCATGAGTTCGCTGTTCGCGCTGTATTTTTACATGCATGTGCACTCAGCGCATGAGGATATATGCCGACGATTGACCGCGTACGGGACGAATAAAGACGAGAGCATTGACCAAGGCTACAGAATTCCTGGAGGGACCTAATCCAAGTATCCAAGCGGTATAGATTTTACTTTAATACCTCCACTTTATTTCCTTATAACAAAAGTGAAATTCTAATGAGAAATCATGATATCAACGTGGAAAATATGTTACGTTTCTAAGGAAAACCTTTTTAGACGATATCCATAGGGTTTTTGTACATGGTCCTAAAAATGTGTGTGTTGGGGGGGGGCATTAATTTCATTCAAATATACAGGGTGTCCCAAAATAAATGGTGCAAGTGCCAGTAGTTCACACATGGGTGATTTCTTCTCATGTGTGAACTACTGGCAGCGTTTGGGCTTAGAAGCATTCATACTCTAAAAGTGGCACAAACTTGATTTGAGGTGTTTGTGGTTAATCAAACATATCTCTACATGAACTAAAGCAAATACGATGAAAGAAGCGGCATTTCGAAGCTAATGAAGTAATCATGAAGATGATATAAACATCTGTAGCAAATATTGAATGGTTATTGGGTAACGTGGCGCGTTTCACTTGCACCATTTTTTTGGGACACCCTGTGTATGTTGTTTAATTGAGTCTTGATAAAAAAAAGACGTTTCTTTTCCTCAACGGTGGCTCTTGAGAATTTTCTTAAAGCTGTCCTGACCGTTCTTCTTAATTCGTAAAGTGATCGGGTACGACCCGGTCGCAATTTTGAATGCCAATTCATATTAATTGTTGTCTAGGTTAAGGTCAAAGTTGGTCAACTATACTGTTTATGGTTGAAGTGAATTTCCACACATAAATGTTTGACATTTTACATTTGGAATAACATCAAAGGATATTATATACCTGGCAGTTAAGACCGCCCAATCAGAAAAGCAAACCACCAGAGACCCTTTGCGCAAACTTTGACTATGACCTGACCTCAATTTAGTCCACCAAAACCTGACACCCAACTGCTGTCGATTATTTTGGACCCACAGCACACAATTTGTGCTTGAATTCCGCATGTCACATTTTTTTTTCTTAAGTCACGGGACTAAGTCTTCCTTGTCAGTCCTTCTAGTCGGAGTATATCAATGCCTAGAAAAGATTCTTGTTTTTACTTTTTGTTTGTTTGTTTGTGTGTATGTTTCAGATTGACGAGGATGTCATTATTGAAATGACGGATGAAGAACTCAGCGAGTACATTCCTCGTAAGGGTGACCGAGTTGTCGTTAAGGCTTTCGTCCGGAAGGAGAACAGTGAAACTCAAACTCAGAAGAGGAAGTTTACACTGCTCGAGAGCTTGAGGTCCCGAATGGCAGGAAAGTCAGGGAAAAACAGCCAGACTTGTAAGTGACAGCGAGGAAGAATATGAGAGTTCTGCCCCCGGGCCAAGTGACGGCGGTCAGTCAAACAGCACGCAGAAATCAGCAGAAACAAAGAGGGGCCCGAGAGGCAAGAAAGCGAAAGAGGCATCAAGAAGTTCAAGGTCCCTAATAGTCGGGTTCTCTGTTTACGAGGCTACAGAGTCCAGGTACAAGCAGGTACGCGCCCCCATGGGTGGGGGGATACGTCACATTACTGTCGACAAAAATACACCCAAAAGAAAATTGCTACATACCCTTTGCCCCTTGTTTTTTCCAGATGGAAAAAACTGTCATGGTTCGCTCGGGGACTTCCAGTTAGATGTCTCCACAGATGTGCATGGTAGCCAACCCGTTCACGAGAACGAGACTATTCAACATTTGATCGACAGACTTGGTCTAAAACACGTACGATGCTATCTCCTGGCCAAATCAGTAGACCTGGATGAAGATAAGTCAGCAAGTGACCCTGCAGAAGACAGCCTGGAAGATCTACCCGATATGTTTGCTCACAGACGTCGGTGAGGAGAGGAAAACCTCATGTCAACAGCCATTGATTCGAGCCAAGAGGAGGTACCGAGCACAAGTGACGGCCACCACATTTCTCATGGGCAACCTAACTCGGAGCGATACCGTCCGTTGAATCAAGGTGATGAGATGACAGTTGACAATGAAGTCATCGTGCAGACTGCTGATGACTCATCGCCCTCCAACAACCCACTGTTGTCCGAAGCTGCTGAAGACCGCGTTGAATTAGATGTCCAGTCAGTATTTGCTGCAACATTGGACTCGGATGCTGTGAATCTCACTCCACCAACCTATAACATTCCTGACGAATTCATTCAAGAGGACCAACTGGCTCGATTAAACGACGACGACTCCGGTATCATTCAGTTTGGCCCCTTCCCAGCAGCAGTGGAACTGGACTTAAATGCAACACAGCCATTGGTAAAAGAAATAAAAGTGCACCGTGGCAACGTTTGTCAAGAAATGGTAACATTTTTCTCGAAAGAGGAGAACGTCAACCTGAGAGGAACAACCCTCGAAGTGAAGATGCTGAAGTCAGATGGAAGCACAGAGATGGCTGAAGACAACGGAGGAGTCTTGAGGGATGCACTTACTGAGTTTTTCGACAGCTGTTATTTGCAGTACACAATCGGCAACTCGGTAGCCGTACCGGTATTACGCCATGACATGACCAAGGTCCATTGGTCGGCAGTGGGAGAAGTAATCCGCTTAGCATTCAGACAGGAGGGAATTTTGCCGGTCAGGCTTGCTCTGCCTTTCATGCAACTGGCATTTTTTGGGACACCCGATGACCCACTAGACGCGTTCATGCAGTTGCTCCCGGATGTCGATCGATTGCTGCTTGAAGATGCAATGAGGAGTGTTTCATCTGTCGATGCAGATGACTTGATGGATTTCATGGAACGACACGATGCCAGACGAAACCTTACAGACGAGAACATCGAGAAATCACTTACCGAGATGGCAAATAAGGAGATGCTTCAAGTACCACTATTTGTGGCGCTGTGTTGGCGACCAAAGCTGAAATCTCTCGGCCTCTCACGACTCCAGCTCCGTCAGATTTATGACAACCTGAAGCCATCAACCAGGAAGGTATTGAACATATTGGAATTTCCCAAACCAATGAACACAGAAGAAGGCGCCTTGAGTTCCTCACTTAAGAGACTGGTGAGGGAGATGGATCAGAATCTGCTCGGCCTGTTCTTGCGATTTTGCACAGGGTCCGACCTCGCGGTCAGAGAGAAGATCACCACCAGGTTCACTGAGTCAGAGATTCGCTGCCCCACAGCACACACATGTGGGTGTGTTCTGAACATTCCGCGCTCGTATGCGGCACTGCCTTATATCACATTGAAGTCAGAATTCACCACCCTCCTTCGCAACAGATACTGGCAAATGGACATCATCTAAAAGCCGTGTCACCCTTCTTCTATTTCATTAACAGACAACCTATATCAATCCCCATACATGCACTCTTGTTTCACTGCAGTAGTAGTTAATTAGGTGATTTGGAAGTGTGCTTTATGTTATACATGATTTGTATATTGTATTATGTACGTGCTTGAAACGAAAAGTCATTTTGTTCTTTTTGTATCATCATGAGGAAAAGTAACCTTCAGTATAACCTTCAGTAACAGTTGCATTGCCATAATTTTTGTTCATGATCTATTATGATGAGAAGTATCCATCAGTAACAGTTGTATTTTTCATTTGCATTGCCATTTTGTTCTTTTATGTTTTAAGAGAAATATCCTTCAGTAACAGTTGTATTTTTCAATTGCGTTGCCATTTTGTTCTTTATGTGTTTTAACGAGGACAAGTATTCTTCATTAACAGTGACATTTCCCATTTGTATTGTAGTGAAATAACCTTTTTAAATCCCAAATTCTGTTCATGGGATATACATTCTTTTATGTGGTGTTCTGTAGTTGTAGTATTTTGAAATGATTTTTTTGTTACTGTATAAGATTCGCTAATCCCAAAGGCTGGCACTACTGTTATATTTTTTTTTTCCTTTTTTCTCCATCCCACAAAACATATTTTGTTGATATTGCTTCTTTCCTACGATGCAAAGGTTTCCTTTGAATGATGTGTCCCTCATAATAAGTTCATACGAGATTTAGTTGTAGATTTTACATACGTCACAAAATCCTAATTATAAAGCACTTTAATTTGGCGATGCATATTCCGCGTCCTGTACAAATTGTGCAAAGGTAACTCGCCCAAAATGTTAATTAGTTCCGTTGAAATACAAATTCAACAGAAAAAGCAAATCGTACCTTTTCGATTTTCCAAAGACGTTTTGCTCACACATTTAGATTATATTTGTCCCAAATTTCATTGCATAATTATATTGGTGACTGAGGTGTTACATTTACAGGCAGTTGCTCGTGTTAGATATTGTTGAAGTTTTGATATAGCGTTTTGGTTTTGCTCGTTGAAATTATAAAAAAGTGAAGTGTTTATTTAATCGTTTTTAAATAAAAAGTGACGTGGATTGTAATAAAAGTAGTTTTTGCCAGGCAATTAAACTGGGAATCACAGAAAATTTCCGTTAGAAATGTTGGTTTCACTCTGTATATTCATTTGTGGTTAGTTTGAACATTCTTTGAACAATGCAGTTTTCCAAAAGTGCTGCAATCAAATATATATAAAAAAAAAACCTGGAAATAGACTTATACATAAACAAAACTTAAGAGATAGGTAAGAATGTAATTAGTAGTGTAATCTACATAGATTTGTCTGTACGTCATTCATGGCATTCGAGTCTATGTTCTAAGAATGGGTCCAGGGGTGCAGACATGGTGTACTTCGCCTTATTTGCTGGGGTTGCTCAGCAGAAGGTCCCTCACCCCCACCAACACACATGAAACCTGTTGCTTGATATTTTAATAACGTCTGGCTGGGCTGAGTGGGATATCGGCTATTTATTTTTTTGACGTTGGCTGTTTATCCTTGACGTTGGCTGTTTATCCTACTCAATTACTTCAATAATTCCATGTACTTGATTTCAGAAAACTGACAACTTAGTACACCAATTTCAACTTTAAGAGGTTCATTAATGGCCTTTTTGTAATTGATGTCTACTTCGTGACATGTGCTTCTTTTTTACAAATTTTTGGAGGTTTTCATATAACATCAATAATTCATCTCATTACTGATCCACAAGTCGTTTCTGGGCACACGTATCACCGACCCTGACAGTATTGTGAGAAACTATATAGGTCTATATATTACTGTTCCAGATCCTGTCGAATGGCATCACGCAGCGCGTGGTAAAGCTGCAGTGCCTGCTCTACATTGCCAGGATGTTCCAAAGAATGTTCAGTCATGTAAATATTGAAGAGTTCAAATAACTCCTCGTCACACGGAAGGCCATCCCTGAAGGTACACGCGGTGCAGCAGGCTTCGATATGTTCCTGGTCAACTGGCTCCAAGTAGTCACGTCGGCCAAACAATTCTGGCATGGAGAAGAGAACTACAGGTCTTCCGTTGGGAACGTTCTGATTCTTTGAACGTCGTATGCGATGGCAGTTCCAGACAGACGACATCCTATCAAGATCATTCCATTACAAAAAAATGACAAATAAGAAATTTAGGCTATATCACATCTTTTACTCACATTCGGTATGTTCGAGCATCATAACTTTTGATTGAATTATACATTAGAATTATAATTATAAAGTAGTCAAAATTGCAGCAGCCATACACATACTTAAGACTTTCACAATGACAATCAATAATTTTGGAACTCCATTTAGTGGTATTAAGTGGGTTTTCTATATTTATTTTCCTTTTTGAGAGAGAGAGAGGGATATACAGTCATATGGAAAGGGTAAAGTGCACGGCATTACTTTACACCGTCCTCACAGTTAAGACAGGCTTTGCACCATATTAGATTTTTCCACATTGACCTAATTTCGGCATACATGCATGAGGATGACGAACAGTAAATTGAAATAATTCAACACACCTGGACCAAACTCATAAAGCAGAATTGGACAAGACCTGTGTCTAGAGAGTCTCCTGTGAAATCGCCAACATCCTTCAATGTCTTCAGAGCATCAATCCAAAATTGTGTGCATTCTTTACGCAGCATACACCAAAAAGCCTCTATCCGCTGATTGTGAGTACTTTTCCCATATATGAAGCTATTCTGCTCCGACAAGAACTCTTGCATCATCGCCAGACGCCCGTTCTCGGTTCCCATGTCTCCTCTGATCATACTTGGACATCCCTCCATAGCGCTCACTGCTTCCGTGTAATATCCAGCAATTACCTTAGGATCGCCGCTCGTGCGATATACGTTTAGCCAAACTATCTGACGCGAAAACCCATCAATGCACCAATTGATGCGCAACCCATACGTCTTAAGTTTGTCATAGGAGTCCAGGTGCCACAAGTAGTTGGGTCCCCTTGCGAAGTATTCCCTTCTTATGAGCCTGCCTCTTCTCCGAAGTTGCAGACCATCAGGATCTAGGATCTTCATAACGGCATAAACCGTGTCTCGTTGAACAACTTTGCCAGCTTGCAGACATTTCAAATGCATCCATCTGTATCCATGCATAATTCCACTTTCATTGATCTGATCAAAAATGAAGTCAGCGACTTCCAGAATGTCAGTGAAGTGTTTGCGTCGAAACAGACGTTGCTGACGCAAGCGTCTTTTCAGTGTCCTAAGACTTATGACGATTCGGTGGTTTAGAGCAAGCGCATCATTTCCGTTTAGCTGAGACCCAAATGGAAATACGTGGCTATAATATCTTGATCCATAGCTTATCTGTGTGAGCAAAATAATACAACATGTATACTACATACACATTTTGAACACCATACCGTGAAAATATTAGTGTTTAGTAGCATAAATCAGCCGCTTTGTCATAATCACAGGCAGAGTCGAGACAATCAGGGGCCTCATGCATTATGCATGATAACACTACGGTACTAAAGGCTATTAAAAGCAATACATCTCATCTGCCAAAAGCTTTGGCAATATTGGCCTACAGGGAGGGATTTTTCAATACCTGGCGTTATTAGAACTAAGCAAACCAAAAATTAAAGCGGGAACAGCGAGCTCACCTGTGAAGATTTCCTTCTCCAAAGCTTCGAGTCTTTGGTCTGACTGATAGCGTCAGATAATTCAGATGATTAAGTGGCGGCTGCGAGATATTAAGTTGCGGCCGCCAGTTATTAAGTTGCGGCCGCAACATATTAAGTTGCAGCCGCCAGATATTAAGTTGCGGCCGCCAGTTATTAAGTTGCGGCCGCCAGTTATTAAGTTGCGGCCGCCACATATTAAGTTGCGGCCGCCAGTTATTAAGTTGCGGCCGCCACATATTAAGTTGCGGCCGCCAGTTATTAAGTTGCGGCCGCCAGTTATTAAGTTGCGGCCGCCACATAATAAGTTGCGGCCGCCACATATTAAGTTGCGGCCGCCACATAATAAGTTGCGGCCGCGACATAATAAGTTGCGGCCGCGACATAATAAGTTGCGGCCGCGACATAATAGGTTGCGGCCGCGACATAATACGTTGCGGCCGCGACATAATAAGTTGCGGCCGCCACATAATAAGTTGCGGCCGCCACATAATAAGTTGCGGCCGCCACATAATAAGTTGCGGCCGCCACATAATAAGTTGCGGCCGCGACATAATAAGTTGCGGCCGCCACATATTAAGTTGCGGCCGCCAGTTATTAAGTTGCGGCCGCCACATAATAAGTTGCGGCCGCCACATATTAAGTTGCGGCCGACAGTTATTAAGTTGCGGCCGCCACATATTAAGTTGCGGCCGCCACATAATAAGTTGCGGCCGCGACATAATAAGTTGCGGCCGCCACATAATAAGTTGCGGCCGCGACATAATAAGTTGCGGCCGCCACATATTAAGTTGCGGCCGCCGCATATTAAGTGGCGGCGATGTACAAAAAAATTCTGACGTGTTTGCAAAATATATATTAATCCCTTAGAGACCTGGCACTATCCGGCTTCCGTACGTCCATGAAAACAATCCAACAGTAAGAAGCATTTGCTATTAATTTGTTGTCTAGTAAATGCTGAACAGTAAAGGAAAACTTTTATTCATACGAAATCAAGCATTTGCTTTTCCTTAATGCTTGTACTCCAAAGTAAATGCTTTTACTTTTTGCTTAAACTTCCTAGCATTTACTAGTTTTTATACATACGACCTGTCTCAGATTTGTGGAACAAACTCCATTTGGTTTTATAGTGGGGGATTGGTAATTGCGAAGAACACAGCAGACATCTATCTTTCGTTGTTTCCTTCTACCACCACGACAACCTCTATGGGTTGGGGGCTTCTTGTTAATGTGAATGAGGTTTATGTGTTTTCATGAGCCATGGGATAGAGTACATCTTGTGCTTTCCCCAATGCTGAAAAATTGGGTTATGTTATAGTGCTGTCTACCAGGGGTTTCAGCATAACTTGGCCGAATGTTATCGTAATTGTGGTTTATCGGTAAATATGGGCCGGGATTTGGGCTAATGTCACCACAAGAAAGTAACTGAATGTTGAAGGTCGCAGACATATTACAGTAGTAAGGCAATTGAGTTTTCAGGAAACCTCTACATTGAACCTGATTATCTATCCTGTTACCGATTATCACTGTTGAACACTGGTTGTATACAGGCAAAGGCCAAATACAGAGGCCAAACAGAAGATAGGGCTCAAGCAGCATTGTTCAATTATTATGGCACAACATTACGTCACACACTATTCAATGTTGGTGATCTTCCCTTTATTACAAAAGTAAAATCAGCCCAGCCTAGCTTCACAGCCTATATTAGCTTATAGGGTTAAATTAACCTCAAGTTTTAAGTAAAACAACTCAAACAACTTCATTACCCAAGCTTTGGGGTAAAATAACTCAATTCGTGAGTAGGTTCGGGTATAACTATAAATCTGGTCTTGTGTTAACAACCTAAGTTTTGGTTTTAAGCAATGATCCTGAAAATATAGCCAGAAATTCTAATCCCGCAAACCAATTTGTTGGGTAGTTGCAGTTTAACCCTATGCTTGGGTTAAATTTGTCAGTGTAGCCATGTTGCTGCACTGGAACGTTTATTAGAGACACGACGATTTTTTGAGCTGGTGTCCGTGCTGAGCCCCTTTACAAGGGGCTGCTGCGACCTTTGGGCCTCCGTTGTGCGACCATTATGGCCAGGTCGCCGTTGGAGGCTCAAAGGAGGCCGAATGGTTGTTCAAAGGTGGTACACAGAATGTTCAGACATCGCCATGGACGCCATGGTCGCCGTAAGTTTTTGAACATGTTCAAAACAGTCGCACAAAGGTCGCCGAGGAGGTTGGTTGCTCAAAGGTGGCTCAAATGAGGCAAGAAGGGAGGCACAAGCATTGCCGTGGTTGCAGAATGGATGCACAATGGTCGGTCAATGGTCGCCACGTAATAGATCCGTTCTGTTGCAACTTTTACCGTCAATCTGGGCGATGCTTCTGCCTCCCTTGTGCCTCAAGGGTCGCATAGGAGGCTGAAGCAGTGCTGAATGGTCGACCGCAGTGATCGCCGTTAGTTGCCGATGGTGGCACAGAGGAGGCACAGAGGAGGCTCAATGGTTGCCCAAACATTGTTCGGGGGTCGCCTATGTTGCCTTTAATCGCGTTGGCTGCCGTAGGTTACACAGGGGAAGCACAGGGGATGCATGCAGGCAAGTGGCTCGGGGTCGCTCGTAGCTCGACATGAAAATGCCCGAAAATTGCAGTTTTGGTGGTTCAAGAGAGGCACAAGGATCGCTGTGGAGCAGTTACATAGAAACAGGATTTTCTGGGTTTAGGCGACCATTGAGCGTCCTTGCCATGTTTGGTCGCTCACAGGTGGTTCAAAGGTCGCAGCCCTGTGTAAAAGGGGCCTGATGAGCTAAAAGTTCCACAAAATCTGTCACGTAATACGGGGCAGATGCAGAAGGCAAGGACCTTCTGCTGGCATCCGAAATTGACAGTGCGTGGACCATGCAGTGTACATTTAACGATTTACATACTTGGGCAGCACCCTGTCAAGAGAGGTCCACATAGACCAGGAAATCACAAATCGGATATCCAAAGCCAGCTCAGCTTTCGGAAGATTTCGTGAGCGTCTGTGGAATAGGAGAGGCATAAGCTTGAAAACAAAGCTGCGTGTGTATCAAGCTGCAGTCCTGACTTCCCTGCTGTATGCCTGTGAAACTTGGACAACCTACAGCCGCCACATCAGAAAGCTGAACCACTTCCACCTTTCCTGCATGCGTAAGATCTTGCGCTTCAGATGGCAAGACAAGGTCCCAGACACTGAAGTCCTCAAGCGAGCGGAATTGCCCAGTGTAGGTGCTTTGATCATGAGAGCTCAACTTCGCTGGTCAGGTCATGTAGTACGGATGCCTGATGATCGACTCCCCAAAAAGATCTTCTACGGTGAACTAACAACAGGCAAAAGATCGGCTGGTGGTCAATTCAAGAGATACAAGGATTGCCTTAAAGCAACCATGAAGCAATGCAACTTCAATGTGAGTAGCTGGGAAGAACTTGCCCATGATCGAAAGGCATGGAGAAGATTATCACACGAAGGTGCATCAAGCTTCGAAGCCCGTCGCATCAGGGAGGCTGAGCTGAAACGACAGCAACGAAAATCTCGTCAGCTAGATGCTTCCCTACGTGTCCACCCCCACCCCCAACCTAGTGTGTCCAGTGTAGGACTGTAGCTTCCTGGCTAGCCCAGTGGACTCCTCCGTTGTGTACAACGTGGACTCCTCCGTTGTGTACAACGCGACGGAGTCCAGGGTATAACGTTTTCATGTCATTGCGAACATTTGATTGAAAACATTTTCTCACATTTTTACCTTAAAGGGGAAGCTCAACTGGCGTCTACATATTCCTTGTATCCTTAATCACTCAAATTCATGGTTGAGAAGTAATCAATATGTTCCAGGAATAAATTATTTAAGGAAATTATCCGCTAATTCGTGCTTCCGATTGTAAACATCTCGAACCGACTGCTCGTGTGAAGGCTTGCGCTTGCGTGCGCGCATGCGCGAAATGCGTAGCAACTGAATGGCTCTCACGCATGCGTATTAGAATTGTGGGCGTATGCAAGTGTGTTCGTCACGCCGGCCGTGAGTGTTGAATCAGAAAAGACATACAAAAGTTACGTTGCGACTTTCTGAATTTCCTCAAGACTTGTTTGCTCGAGTTGATCGAATTTCTGTAAGATGGAGGAGGCGATTAATAATGTAATGACGGAATGTGGCGTCCCGTACAATCTGAAGCCAGAGCAAATTCAGATCATAAGATCTGTCTTAGAAAGGCGAAAAAATGTGTTCGGCCTTCTGCCCACTGGATTTGGGAAGAGTGATTGCTACGGATGGTTGTCATCAATCATGGACAAAGTAAGTAACACTCATCAAGACACTTTAGAATGAGCTTTTCAATTTATAAATACTTGTGTTTTCTATTTACTACAAATTGAGCAACCGAAAAAATGACATTAGGCCTATTATTTTTATTAAATGTAAAACGCCGACAGTACGCGCGTGCAAGAAAAAAACCATTTCCCATTCAAAGTGTAGGTTTTTCAAACATAACCTTCCCAGCATGGTGAAATTGCTGAACAGAAATTGTGCCTGTTGTGTGCGATGTTCAATATACAGAATATCCATCTTCCAGAAACACGCCGTCGATATTTGAAAATTTGATGTTTGTGACCATTATTTTAACTTGACCTATCGACAGCAAATATTTGTCAGTTCCAGATTTGTGCGAGTCTATTTTTGCGTGAATGCTTATAGCCTAACGTTATCATCTTTAAATTAAATCAGAACTGTAGAGAAAAAATACAGAGGACATTTTTAAACCGTGTTTCCAAAACAAACGTGATTAATTAATGAAGTTAAACATTCTGTGAGATTATGTAACAACGATATTACTGTACTAGAACTTTGTATTGTATTTGAATTGCTGAAATGAAAGGTATTGCATGAAAAGTGCTATCCTTTATTAAGAAATGAAGTTTCCTAAAACAAATCATCCTTATAAATTTGCCCATTAATGATTATAAAATCACCCTCATTTAATAGCAAAATTATCTAAAATTCTTTAGAAAAGTTAAGATGGAAGAATTTGAAGTGAAGGTATTATTACGACTATTAAAACAGAAAACATGACCGCGCAAACCTGAACCGTTCATCTCTTTTTTTCCAGATAGAGCCTGATGTAGAGCACATCACCCTTGTCATTTCACCACTGAGGTCCCTAATGCTCGACCAGGTAGAAAGGTGGAGCTCCCGAGGTGTCACGTGTGCCGCGATAATGCGAGCTGATGAAATTGATGATGCTACCAAGGAAGGTGGGAAGATTGTTCAACACATTGAACACAGAATGTGACCATAAGACAATTTTCTCTGACGGAATAAGCGGGAAACCACTCAAACCTTTTGGGAAAAATTAGCGTACACAATTAGTACAGTATAGATTTTCTGATATCTTGTTATATTTTATTGCAGAAATTACGGAAGGGAAATTTCAACTTGAATTTGCATGTGCTTGTCTGCTTCAACAACACTCACGGCGTGACGAACACACTTGCATACGCCCACAATTCTAATACGCATGCGTGAGAGCCATTCAGTTGCTACGCATTTCGCGCATGCGCGCACGCAAGCGCAAGCCTTCACACGAGCAGTCGGTTCGAGATGTTTACAATCGGAAGCACGAATTAGCGGATAATTTCCTTAAATATTTTATTCCTGGGACATATTCATTACTTCTCAACCATGAATTTGAGTGATTAGGGATACAAGGAATATGTTGACGCCAGTTGAGCTTCCTCTATAAGGTAAAAATGTGAGAAAATGCTTTAAATCAAATGTTCGCAATGACATGAAAACGTTATACCCTGGACGTCAGTCGCAATGCAATGTAGACGACGTCCAACCTGGGCTACTTCCTGGCTAGAATTGGACTTATTAGCCATCTGCGAACACACAACACCAACTAGTATGGAGATGTTGGCTGTCATCTTCGAATTTCGAAGGACGAACTATATATATATATATATATATATATATATATACGTGCAATAAATTCAGAATATGAGTTAAACAAACTTTGGCATATCTCTCTTCTGAACAGACTGTTTCGTACCATAAGGCACTCATCAGCAGAATGACGAAAAATAGAATACAAGTAGCATCTTACCTTATTTCGAATCAAGCGCGCGCACGCGTTACGCGCGTTACGTCATTGAAGTTAGTACGCGTTTACGTCACTGAAGTAAGAACACATCTGTCTATATATATATATATATATAGTCTAGGTGCAGATTCAGATATTCGAAAAAAAAATTCGTCTGACATTCATTTGAAAGAAACTAACGGGCTACAATATTAGGGAGCACACCTACGAATCCATGCAACAAAACCGTCTGGCCAGGGCCTTCAAAATATCCGTTCCTTGCTCATCATTCTGTGCATGGTGTTAACTATTTTGCTGGGCGGTTCCGTCCCTTAATACCAATTGAGATCTTATTAATTATGCGCCAAGCAATTGTTATTGAAGTGATAAATCCCCACATAAAGTTTATAAGTGACAATCTCCGACATTCATACGTGGGGCGCACTAGTGATTGCCTTTCCATGTACGCTAACAATGTTTTTGAGTGACCAAAATCCCCACCCTGGGGCCGAAAAACGTGACCAAAATTTACCCCGACATCAGACCTGCTGGGGCATGCAGCGCAGGGGAGGGGTGGTAATCGAGGGCCAGGGGAAACATTTTGATAGGCGCATGATGTGCTGCAGATATCCGAAAGTTAGGCTGCATTCGAATCAGTGGTCTCAGAGCTAGGTCTAGGTCTGCACCCATTGAAAACACGCGGGGACGCGCTGACAATAAACGTAGCCGTAGCCCTGGAAGCCCGTTTCGGCCGGACACGGCCTCATTCCAAAAACTGTCCTGGCGGACATTGGCGTGACTGACGTCATCAACCGTGAACGCAGGGCAGCCCCAAGTAGCAGTTGATACACTATTCATAAATACCTCAGACAGTTTAGCCATTCCTATTGGTCGAGAGCCCGTCACGTGGCCGGTATTAAACAGATGATAAAGACATGGCTAGCTGGTCTTAAACACTTTTCCAGTGTCACAATAAAATGTGGACTCCTAAAAATCCAGTGCCTCTTATCGTTTCATTGGTTGAACGTTCACAATCCTCACGTAGGCATGCGCAACACTACCAGGGAGTTAGAATTTTATAGTTCTAAATTCAAAACGCAACGCGCCAGGTGCGTTCTGCGCGACATCGCGTAGAACATGATACGCGTGCGTCAATCTCCATAAAAGGGTTGTTTTCATCTTACTCGCCAGCTGAACACTCCATTATTTTACAGGAGGGATGTTTCAAAAAGCATAAAGTGAATTTGTTGAACAAAATCGGGATGTTTTGAACGAATTATATGATTTTTTTTTACCGAAAAGGTATTTATGAATGGGAATAAATATGTACTCCGTCGGTATTTATCACTCTGTTTAATACCACTTAGAGTCTGGGTGCTGATAATTACCCTCGCCTCCGGCTTGGGTAATTATCAGCACCCAGACTCTAAGTGGTATTAAACAGAGTGATAAAAACCTCCGGAGCACACATTTATTCCCTTATTAAACCATAGACAGTTCCTTGCTCTATGATTAAACCATTGATCTCCATATACACAGACTGGATAGGACATCGCGTACGAACGTGCGTCCGCGCGCGCGTTTTTTGAAAAGGGTAAAGAACACAATTTCGCATTCGAGTTGTGTACACTTTCGAACGGACGATTAAAAAATGAAGTTGGGTTTTCTTCGGTTTCTTTGTCGTTTTTGAAAGAATTAAAGAAACAGAGATCTAAATTGATCAAACTCGACGAGGAGTATAGTCAAGGTGTGCGCAGCATTAGATTGCTGGAGTGGGGAAGTAAGGAGCGTTGAAGAATAGGACAATTATTCGCAAGTAAGTTGTTTTTTAACGAGGCCTATACAACATGGCACGGAGGAATATGTACATGGGAATGACAAAGCGAATTATGTCGCTCTGAGTTTGAGGGGACGGGCCTGTGTGGTAGCTAGCGAGATATTCTGTTCAAATTCCATGCGAACTAGGCCTGTCATGCTCAGTGGTCGGCATCATTTTTCTTTAAAAGACATAGGCCTAAACGTGCATGATTGACCCGGCAATGGCAATGAACAAAAGTTGACTTGTTTAAGATAGTTTATTCGAATAACTTTATATGCAAAATCTGATTGAATTATGTCTGCCTTGGCTTAACGCCTACCGAAATGTTTCTATTCTTTTCTTTATAAAGAGAAACCGAGGAGATGGTTTATGCTAACTTACTGCACAACTGGCCGATTGACCTTCATATCAAACAAAGAACTTCAGCAAAGCCATATAGCAAAAACCACCAGCTGCAGGACCGAGCCGGACGAAAATGGAGAACTTCACGGAGGGATGGAATCGACTGTATCATCCACTGAATGGAACATGTGTGTGATAAGCATCTGAGCGTTTGACTTAATCAATTTTTACGATGTGGAACTGTTAACATTGATTGATTTTGGTTTTGGAAAGAAGTTGTGGAGTTCAATGCAAGTATTTTTATAAGCTCCCAAGATGACTGTCACATTATTGGCAGTTTGTATGGTGAAGAAAGCAATGAGTACTTTTACGGTTTGAAATTATGTTGTGTACGCCGTTATATAAGATTACTAACTATAGCCATAAACACCGTCATATTCGCTCACAAAAACGATTCCCATTACACTTACAAGTAATTATATTTATTTTCAGAAGTATAGCTTAACATTTAATTGCAAGACCGTGCGTAGCTTGAATTATTCTTTGACAAAATTAGTATAGTACTATTTTGGTTTGTGATTCATCTCCTTTCACACAATATCACAAAGAGGTAAACGATGTCATTCCCTGATCAATCTAGGGACGGGAAGAAGTTTTTACTGATTACTTTGTAAAATTAAGGGTTTTTTTTACCTTTTAGATTGTAATTGGTTTATGTCCAGGTTTTTTAATAAATATATCAATCATTTGAATGAATCTCCATACAATTTCTCGTGTGAGTGTTCAGTTAAAAAATATGATGTCATTTCAGCATATTATTAATACAATTATTCATTTCGTTGATGGAGTAATTCAGTGTGCTCTAATGACCAATGTGCCAAAAATGAAATGGCAACAATCATTTTGGGAGGGGAAGGGATTTTAAAAAAAATAAGGGAAAAGGAAATTGGGGGTTCTTGAATTTCGAAAATGCATAATAAGAAAGTGTATATCAAGAAAGTGTGGAAAAGCTGTTTGAAGGGTAACTCTTCATCGTTCAGGTTTTTTTTTTAAGATTGTTTTGGAGGAGCGCTTGAACTCCCTCCTGTAAGAACAATTTCACTAAACAATCCATTTTCCAAAGTAAACAAAGTGAAAGCACAATGCGCGTTTACCCGTCTGACAGTAAACGCGCCGCCATTGTTCGGCCGCGCATTCGTGCACAAACACGGCGCGATGTCCTATCCAGTCTGTGTATATGGAGATCAATGTGTATATGGAGATCAATGGATTAAACCACGGACCATGGTTTTAAACACCTCACCCATGTTTGTCAAAGAGAAAATTATGATAAAGTACTAAAGTAGGCATTACTCGATATACGCTGCGCACTCGTCCGGATCCGCTATCCCCGCCCCCCCCCCCCTGCCTAGCAGACCTTTATAGATCAATGATGTCATCGTTACTTAACTTCGTCCCCAGGGCTTCATTATTGTCAACCTCGGTTCCAAAATTGACAGACCTGCAGCGAACGTATATAGTAGGGGTTTGTGTGCATTGATCTCCATATACACAGACTGTGTATATGGAGATCAATGGTTGTGTGTGCCGCTCGACGCGACCCATCGGAACGAGGTTGATCATATATACACAAATACATGATGAAATGATGAAGTTGAAGTAATTTTTTATCACCGCCCAGCCTGCGCCATATTGACAATTATGAGTCGTTCATCTACTCTAGTTTCGATAAATTTAGGCGACTGAATTACGAATATTATCGTGAACAATTTATAGTACGTTTTTTGGGGTACTTTCCCACAGTTGTACACATTTTAATCCCAAATGCAAGAATCAGGAGTTGATATGGAGTTTGATCTCCGTTTAGACGACGACGACGACGAGACTTTTGATTTGTTTGGGGAAGTCAAACAGAACTTGAGTTTACAAGATCACCTTGACGTTACCACGTCCATGTCTTCTTTATCAACCTCTGTACCAGGAAGTGGGATGCCAGAAGAAGATATAAACCCTGCCAACATTGGCCTTACCAATTCAAACTTTTACGAATTACGAAGCACGCCCGTTGAAAGGTAGGCAGACTGATGGGCAATGATAACCTGGACTGGAGTCATTGGGTTGTCATTTAGGGAAGTTTTTCACTTGGACCTGCAGCATTGGCAGGTCCAAAAAAAAATCGAAAATGTGCATTTTTGTCCCTGTAACACGCTAATTTCAACTGGAACTCACCCAAACCTTGCCTGGCATAACCACTACACAGGTCTAGCTCTACTGAGTGGAGCGTTGAATTACGGGTACCCTCCATACAAACGCTCCACCGATTTGCCATACTTTGGTAGCACCATACACGGTCGTCATGACGGTATGCATTTTGTGCATGCGCTCGCGAGGACAAGGCCAAAAAAAAACGATAAAGAAAATACAAATCAGGAAGACAGTAACCCTGGATAGATCCACACATTCATGACATTCCATAAGACCCCTCAAATTGTTTCAAACAACCGGTAATTTTGAAAAAAGAACACAATAGTCTGAACTTACCGCTCACAATTAAATGTGTCTGCCGAGTTGCACAGTCTATTTCACTGACATGACTGATGCATAATTCATTGCGCGCGTGTGTGACGTCACTATTGAAGAAAAACAAGTCGCGCTTAATCAATAGCTGTTTCATGTAGTCATATGTGCCCCGCGCCGTCTGACTGTGGGTTTTTGGTGCGGGGCACATATCAGTACATGAAACAGTCATTGATTAAGCGCGACTTGTTTTTCTTCAATAGTGACGTCACACACGCGCGCAATGAATTATGCATCAGTCATGTCAGTGAAATAGACTGTGCAACTCGGCAGACACATTTAATTGTGAGCGGTAAGTTCAGACTATTTTGTTCTTTTTTCAAAATTACCGGTTGTTTGAAACAATTTGAGGGGTCTTATGGAATGTCATGAATGTGTGGATCTATCCAGGGTTACCGTCTTCCTGATTTGTATTTTCTTTATCGGTTTTTTTGGGCCTTGTCCTCGCGAGGGCATGCACAAAATGCATACCGTCATGACGACCGTGTATGGTGCTACCAAAGTATGGCAAATCGGTGGAGCGTTTGTATGGAGGGGTACCCGTAATTCAACGCTCCACTTAGTAGAGCTAACACAGGTCCTTGTTGAACAATTCAGCCTATAAATTGCAGTGAAAAAAGGAGGCATAGGCCCAACTGACAACCGTGCAGCTGTCCAGCGCAATTTGAGTCCCCCGCGCAAGTTTAAACTTGCGCGAGTGACTCCCGAAGCACGCAAATTACACCGCGCCATTTTAATTTGCGTGCGCAAGTTACAACTTGCGCAAAGGCGATTGCAATTTGAGAACCTTGCAGGCGGGATTTTCATTTAAGAAAAAAAAATGTTTAAAACACAAGTACATGGAGAAATAAATTAATAAATAATGGAATAAATTAATGAACAAATAAATAAATAAAAAGGGGAATTCAATTGGCGTAAATGAAAAGGAACATTGAGATTTAGCAGTGCTTGTCGGAGAAGTTTTTTTGGGGGGCGGGGGAGGGGAGGGGACCGGGCAAGCAATCAATAAAAGCACACTACTTTACTAGCGGCGATTGCTTGGAAAGTGTACTGAGGCTGTTCAATAATGGAGACTAGCCCCACTAGTGTGGCCGCGGTATGCTGCGCTGAACCTCTGGCCACACACCGTGGTACCGCGCACTACTGAGGGCTATGGTTGTATTCTATGGTGTCCCATCTATCACTTCTGGGATGCTTAGGTGTAATGATGTTCAATTTTCCGAGATATTCTTGAATCTTTCTGGAGCCCATATGCACTCATGAAACGTCTGGTGATGGCAGCCATTTTGAATGTGGCAAGAGATGACCTCAAGCTGTGACGTCGCGTTTATGCAAATTGCTTGTCGAGCGAGGGCGCGAGTTGCAAATGCGACGACTGTTTCCTGTACCATGCATTTATCGTCTGGGGGCCACGTGCACTGATCTCTATTCAGGATCCACGGTCATCTCAAGAGGTCATCTCTTGTCACATTCAAAATGGCTGCCATCACCAGACGTTTCACGAGTGCATATGGGCTCCAGAAAGATTCAAGAATATCTCGGGAAATTGAACATCATTACACCTAAGCATCCCAGAAGTGATAGATGGGACATCATAGAATACAACCATAATGTAAGAAACGGACCGTAATTTTTATGAAAACGCCCTCAGTAGTGCGCGGTACCACGGTGTGTGGCCAGAGGTTCAGCGCAGCATACCGCGGCCACACTAGTGGGGCTAAATGGAGACCAGCTCCAAGTATTTTTTGCCTTGTTAAACTAATTAGCATTTTAATTTATTTATATTCTTAAATGTAAATAAATCAAAATTTACTAGGTGTATAGTCATTGTTAACGTAAAAAGAATGATTATGATCCCTTCAATTGTTCAAGTTTTGACGTTGTAGTAATCATTTCCATTATTTTTAAAATGCTTTAAATTACATTACATGTACTGTACAATTAAAAAAGTACTTGTTCTTAAAAAATACTCATTTAATTAATTTAGCAATTAATTAATTGGACGGTACAATAATTCATATTGTTTTCAAAAATACTTGCATAACATTTCGAGCACTGTGTACACTTCAAAAATGCATAATCATTGAAAAAAATTACTGAACGCATTAATTAATTAATTAATTGAATTTATTACTTTAACAATTATTTTATTTGCAGGCTCAATAATACATATTAATGTTTTCATGCTACGATATAAAAATGCTACGATATAAAATGGAAATTATTTGAAAAAGTAAATAAATTTATTAATGATTTAATTAATTAATTTTTTTTAATTAATTTAATTTATTAATTCGAATTAATAAATAAATATGTTGTTTATTAAATAAAAATCCTAATAAGCCGTAAACAATATGATGCAAAGTGCATAAATATTGTTCGCATTACCACCCCTTATCTCTGAACCTCACAACAGTCGACTTCATTAGCATAATACTGTTAATAAAATGTTTCAAAAAAGGCATTTAGGCATTGTCTCATGAAGCACAGAGGTGCAATTAATTGGAGAAAATCTGCTTTAAAAATGATGTTTCATTTGAGTTTACCCGGAATTTTTAATTTTTTTTAGCAGCTTTGCATGCATGGGGAAAATCTATGTAGTGCGCAAGTTTAAACTTGGGTGCACAATTTGTAGCAAGGAAATTAATGCACGCGCAAGTTTAAACTTGCGTGCGCGCAAGTTTTTACTTGCGTGGGGGACTCAAATTGCGCTCGACACAGCCATATGATACCCGGAGCTAGATTTGTGCACAAACAAACTTCGTGTACAATTAAGGGATGGCAATGCGTGGTCGATTACCATGCACAGTGCGCGAACCAGTCGCTCTTACTAGCTGGCTAGCTGGCTGCTGGCGCGTGACGTCACAGGGAAGCATAACACCCGACGACTGTTTCATGCACTAACTTACCCCTTGCATCACAGCTGCGGTACTGGAACAGCAGCCGAAGGTGGCCGGTTATCATACATTCATAGTGCAGTGTTATTTACGTTCATTTAAAAACAGGGACATTAAATAGTTAAGCCTTGTTCCATAATTAAAAAGGGGGGGGGGGGGAGGGTGAGAGACAGAAGAGGGATATAATGATACATGAGATTCCAGAATACATGTACGCGTCCAACAGGACATACAAGCAAGCCCCCCCCAACAAACAAAAAAAAACACCCCAACAAACAAACAGTTACCAAACAATCCACACGGTCCCCTCAGAAAATGAATCATTTATCCCATAATCTCTCCCCCCGCCCCTTTATTGTCCCTGTCTTTAAATGAACGTAAAACTGCACTATGTATGATAACCGGCCAACCTCGGCTGCCGTTCCAGTACCGCTGCTGTGATGCGAGGGGTAAACCTCATAGTTAGTGCATGAAACAGTTGTTGGGTGTTACGCTTCTGTTTGAGGTCATGTGCCAGCAGCCAGCTAGCAAGAGCGACTGGTTCGCGCGCTGTGCATAGTAATTGACCGCGCATTGCCATTCCTTAATTGTACACGCAGTTTGTTTGTGCACAAATCTAGCTCCGGGCATCATCATGGCTGCACAGTTGCCGGTTATGCCTCCTTTTTTCACTGCAATTGTAGGCTGAGTCTTCATCGTGGATCGGTTTTTACTTCAAGGACCTGTGTAGTGGTTATGCCAGGCAAGGTTTGGGTGAGTCCCAGTTGAAATTAGTGTGTTACGGAGACAAAATTGCACATTTTCGAATTTTTTTGGTGGACCTGCCAATGCTGCAGGTTCAAGTGAAAAACTTCCTCTAGCCCTAAATGACAACCCAATGATAAAATTTATGGATGGGTAACTCCAGCTAGGACTCACCCAAACCTAGTCTGGCAAAACCACTACTAACTCAACTGAGTGGAGCGTTGAACTCTGGTACAGTCGTCAGGTGCGCGATTCAGCGCAATGCTGCGCCGTGCAGTTGGCAAGTGTGACTGGTATGGTGGTTTGCTGTGTGTGCATGGTAATCGCCAGCGCTTTGCAGTTTGTGCACAAATCTAGCTCCGGGCATCATCATGGCCGCACGGCTGTCGGTTATGCCTTCTTTTTTCACTGCAATTGTAGGCTGAATCTTCATCGTGGATCGTTTTTTACTTCAAGGACCTGTGAAGTGGTTATGCCAGGCTAGGTTTGGGTGAGTCCCAGTTGAAATTAGTGTGTTACAGGGACAAAATTGAACATTTTCTAATTTTTTGTGTGGACCTGCCAATGCTGCATGTCCCAGTGAAAAACTTCCTCCAGCCCTAAATGACAACCTAATGATAAAATTTAGGGCTGGGTATTAAAGTCTTGAGGAAACAAAGATTTTGGTATGGGTTAAAAGTGTGGTTTTTGAGTCAACTCCATCCCAAACTAACTCGGTCCATGTCAACTTGGTCGGAGGTCAACTCCGGTCCCAAGTCAACTCTGTCTCAAACCAACCCAGCCTCACATGTATACAGTAATCCAGGTCATATTACAATAGACCTAGACATTATCGGACCTTTATTTACGTACAGTTTTCCATAGAGACCTAATTACCTTTGACCAAGTTGAATTTGACCGATTTGACTTGACCGAGTTGACTTTGATGGAGTTGATTTGGACCGAGTTGACTTGAACCAAGTTGACTTGGACCGGGTTGACAGTATGGTTTCCTGTCTTACTACCAATATGCTCCACCCATTAACCTGATTGCTGATTTCATGAGCTGTTAAAACCTGTAGTGCGTGGGCTATAATGGGTTGCATAAAAACACTGCAAATGTCAACATTTTTTCAAAGATTTATTTACATATTGTCACAATGAAGGAATTAAAGGGAATATACATCATTTGCTTTTGTTGTAATTTTCAGAAATGGATGGAATTGGGGGGTTGGAAATATATAGCAAATATAATTACACTGACTTTTTTTAGGTTTTGGGTTCGAAAATGCTATAAAAACCAAGAAAACCAATCATTTTCCTGTAGTCTGGTTCCCTGACTCCATTTAAGAAGAAACAGAGCAGTTTACATATATTTGGGAATTGTAAGGTCAGGGAACCAGTCTAGCTGGCTTGTACCCGTTCATAGGTGTGTAATCGATTGCAAACAAGTGCGATGGTCAACTGGGGCCAGTATTTGAAAAAAGCCAGTTTTTTCCAACGCTGATCGGCCGATCAGCGTTGGAAATTGATACAAAAATACCACTTTTCTTGAAAATGACAGTATACCAGGTGCCATGATTTTACAGGATGCCTTACACTGTCATTCACTAACAGTCCAGCAAGGTATTTCAAAATGATTTGGTAGTTTTATTTTTTGATGTTTGCAAATGTTGTATTTTCCCTTTAAGCCATGAAAATAATTTTCAGAACAAAGATAATTTGGTTTCAATGAAGAAACTTATAATCAGGTATGTGTGTAATGGCCATCCTGACCAAACTCTTCAGACCCTAGCCCTACCCTTTAAAACGGAGTGATTGGTCCAACCTTTTGAAGATAAAAGATATAATGCCTCATGTATAATACAGAAGTAAATTCAAACAAATATTTCATCCAGATTTGAGTCGGTGATCTGACAAACTGTAGGACAGTTGGCCCACCTGCTATAAAAGGTGCCTGCTACTTTAACACATTTAGAATCTCCTGCTTGGTCATGTTTGTTTTGACATCCCCATTAAAAAGAGGGTTTTTAACCGTCCTTGGAAGTTTGGAGTTTACTACAGAGGTAAAACCGATGGTACTTCGGTGATGTTTTGAAGTTTTGATTCTTTTTTCTTGTGTCATGAATTAAAATGATCTCTATTTGCCAAACATGTAACATTTTTGTTAGATACATGTAAGCCACAGTTTTTAACCAATGAAAGCAATTGAAATTACATAGAATAATTTAGATATATACTTTTTAAATTTTGTAGCTCTGTTTTACAAAAGGAATTTTCACCAAGCGCCATGTCGACAAGAACAAATTTCAAACAGGAACTGATGAGGCAGCAAATGCAAGAAATAGAAAAGCATGAAAACAGACAGACTCGTACATCACCTATGTTATCTTCACCTGCTATAGACCTGCCAAAGCTGTCCACAATTCCAGAAGTTCCAACAAATGTTCTGAAGGTATGTATTTTGCACAAAAAAAGGCCAAAAAAAAAAATACTTCTGCTTCCGGTTACCCGACCGACCCTATATTTAGGCTGCGACCTTAAAAATTTTATCGGCAATTCCAAAAAAAATAATAATAATAATGATTGAATAAATATAAATAAAACCCGTTGTCTTTTCTGTCTTCACAAAATACCTCTCAACAACCCTTTTGCGTCAAAAATTTGCTTGTATTTATTTGTTTTCTTACTCACATTCGCTATTTTTTTCAAAAGAAACCTCCGTTATTTTTACTATTTTGCAATTTGATGTCACGTGCGTAAACCTAGCTCAATGCGGCAACAACTGGTTCCTGCTGCACCACGCAGGGGCCAATTTAGAAGACATGATGGAAATGCAGTAACTAGTGTGTGCACAGCTATGTGATCGATAGCGCTAGCATGGCTATGCATTGGGCACGTGCACTGTCAACTGGTCGGATTCGACATCGTAACAATGCCAAGAAAACACATGGAGAAAGAACATTTTTACAAGTTAATTCACAGAATTGATCGAGCTTGTCTGTGTATGACGCATTTTCCGTCTTCAAGAGTTCATTTTGAGATCGTTCTTCTTGTATTTGACGTGATACAGTGCAGCGTGTTTCCCGAAATTTTCGACTGTAAAAACGAGGTCTGTTGGCCGCGCGCCACAATGCACAGTGCATCACACACTTCGGAGTTTTGGCCAGCTCCCGTCTTGACTAGCGTTGTGCATATGGTGCGAACGACCTGAATTTTTCATTAGTTTTTACGAATTATCGAACGTATAAATATATTGACAATAATTATGGTATGTTTTATTCACTTTTTGTGGCCATTTTGTGTGTAGCTTTCGTAGTGCAATAGAAATAGTTCAGGCTAAAACTTCGCATATACATGTAATTGAGTACCCCATTCAATCTGCATAAAAAAAATTTGCAAAAAAAACAAAATCCGACCGACCGACCCTATTTTTAAAAGGCATGTAATCGGAAGCACAACTTTTTTTTTTCGGCCTAAGCTGATGTACATGATGTGTAATGTAATTATTATTGTCTGATAAGTGATTGGTTGAAAGTTCTGTTTTACTGTTTGACAATATACAACTTAACAATAAATTATAGTAAAAAAAATTCAATTTACTGAATAACATTATTTCAAGACAGTATCTCCTAGAATATAGAGACACACAATTAGACACCATAACCCCCAGTAAACAGGTTAAAAAAATCCCTTGGATAAGGCCATTTAATCGCAAAATGGTATTATTAATCTTAATATTATTTTTTATTGTAAGATACCTTGGGACATCCAAAAATGCTGCTCTTAAGTTGCACAGCCAGTACTTTTGCCTTCCAGCTCCCAAAAAACTGTTATTTTGGGACTCATTTTTTGAGAAACAGCTAAAATCATATTTTGGCAGAGATGAAACGTTTGAGATTTTAATCTGAAATCAGGTTTTTTTTTTAAAAACTTTTCCACTGAAATTTCAGGGTTTTTTTTACAATACCACAAAAATAATTATTTTACAATTTTCCACTATTTTTTTTTCATTAGGCCCCTATAATTGCAGAGTTTTTTGCCAAGGCCAGTTTCATCTCTGTTTTGGGCCACTTCTCTCTCAAAAATGACCCCATTGTTACTTCTTACCATCCTAATAGGATGGTTAAACAAGAAAAAATATGGTTGGTCCCAAGTTTATCCGCATTCTTGTTCCCAAAGAGGTATGCTTCGAGGACACCCCCCCCCCCCTAATCCTGTGACTTTGCCCTACTTTGGGACAGAAATGAGTTTGAAACTCATACTTATTCTTAAGATACACACTTTCTTTGTAATTAAAAGACTGCCTGAGACCACAGGCCTTAATCATTTAAATCGGCTGTATAGCGGGTGGCATAGCTAACCAATGCTGCATTTTATGATAACAATGCCAAATGTGCCACAGAAATGAGATATATTGGGGCATCGCAGCTATGGCCCTTGACGGCCGTAGGACCCATCATTTAAAAAGTGCTGAGTCCGCACTATTTTGTTATGCATTTTCTCAAGCAGTATGGAAGCCAAAATATTTTTCTGCCTTTTCTACATGCTTCGATGCAAAACAGGCATAAACAATGAATTTTCTATCAATACCTCATTGAAAAAAAAAAAATTAATAATGCGTACCAGCTGATGTCAGGCCTGGTGAAACCTGCAAGAACTGTAGGCCTACTATCCTGTAATATTTGATAGCAAATATTGTCACACTGACTTGTTTGAAGTTATGTACTCTTGGATGCTGGAAAAACGAAGAAAAACAATCATGTTCCTGAAGTCTGGTTCCCTGATCCTACCGGTACTTAAGATGAAACTGAGCAATGTATGGATGTTGGGGAATTGTAAGGTCAGGGAACCAGTCTAGCTGGCATTGCTCCCATTCATAGTTGAGTCTAAATTGATTGCAAAAAAAATGCACACTAACTAAATATGGTAAATTGGGGGCAGTATTGGAAGAAAAAGCATTTTCTCTAATGCTTGTCGGCCGACCAGCATTTGAAATTGATACAAAAATACCGATTTTTGACCAGTGCTTGAAATTGACAAAAAAATACCACTTTTCTTGAAAATGACAGCACAGGTGCCATGATTTTACAGTATGCATTAGACTGTCATTCATTAAGTATTCCATAATAATTTGGTAGCTTGAGTAATTCCAGCTCCAACTTTGTTCATCAGGAATTTCGACATACATACAAAGCTGGAGCGAAAACTATGTTGTGGATACCAAATGCTAAGAGGCCCTAAAAATGGGACTCTCTGTATCTCTATCACAAAAATGGTCCCTTTTCCCTCTATTAATCCCAACCCAGATTCCATTAAACATAATCAGGTACATGTATGTTTAATGGAATTTGGGTGGGTAAACTTGAAGGAAAAGGGACCATTTTTTGTGACACAGAGAGTCTTGTTTTTTAGGGCTTCTTAGAATCTAGGATTTACAACATAGTTTTAGCTCCATTTTGTGTCAAATTCCTGATGAGCATTGGAGCTTGCGTTTAATACTCAAGCTAATAATTTGGTAGTTTTGTTTTATTATATTGGCTAATGCTGTTTCATCCCTAAGTTTCATCCCAATCGGATTTGTACAAGTTTTCAAAGTATAAGGATTCGAAGATTGCACTTTTGGTAATGTATGATGTCACGTGACACATGATGACTTCATCGTGATAAAAATTTGGGGTCCAAGTGGCAAAGTGTACATGTAAGTATGCATGTACAGTCGACTCGTTATTACGAGGTTCTCTGGACTTTAGTAAATGTACCCGGTACTTGTATGTATGGGTAGGAAAAAGTGCACCAAACCTATGGAGAGGAGTCTGAAAAAAAGGGGGGAAAAAGAAAGAAAAAAAAAAGAAGGAAGTGTGGATGTCATGTACTTTCCAGACATCAACAATTTCAACGGTAGTGACAGGTGTCCTCAAAATGAAAAGGAACGGAACATACTGTACATGTAAGCCTTGGTAATAGTGGAACATGCAAGTAAGTACATGTACTACTGGTATGAGCAGTATGGGAATTTCTTAAAAATGAAAACACTGTACCAGTAAGTCAAACCATGTTCACTGAGTAAACTGTTGTTACAGAGAAATATAAAGACATCGTTGTACTGTCCTTGCTCTAAAAAGAGTTTTCTGCTGCCCTTGCTAGAAATGCTTCAGGGACAGGATATATATTTAAGGGTTGTGGTAATGCTAATAATAAGAATTTACAGACAGGAAGATGACATCATCCATATTCTAATTGCTCCCTCCTCAAACTGCATGTATACATGCTGTGCTAGTTGAGAAAGTGGTCACTCCGTCCCAAGATCGCACAGCGCTGGTAGCTTGTGTGGTCTGCTCTTAAACCTTCTTTACTTGTAAGTTGTTTTCAACGGCTGGTCCGTTCAAGTGAATTTAATTAAAAATGTATGGTGGAATAGCAGTTATGCTTCCATACTATGGACACCAGCCTCATCAACACCATCTCCATGCACACCATCACCCCTATCACCAGGTAAGAAACTACTTGTTTCCTAGAAATCTGATGATACCCCAATCAGCATACATAAGTACAGTTGTGGTTGCAAAATAAGAACCAATCGAGGGTTCATGTACTCACCCAAGAAATTTTGTGGACCTCAGAAGAATTTTGAGCGGTCAAGATTTAGGGGCCATTCAAAATGTTCTATGTTTTTAAATTTCGATTTTTGTTCCAAATTGTTTTGACCCACCCACCCACATAAACAATGACCTGCATGGAATTCTGTGTCACCGCCCAACTGACGATGCATCTTGTCAAGCGCTAGATTGCATGTTTACAATACGAGACCAAACTAGAAAACATTTGTGAAAAGTTGAATGTGTCAAGTACAGTATACAAATATAACATGGTTTGAGGGTGGACAGTCGATATTCGCTCCTCGAGGTATTGGAAGTTGACAAACTTGTTCCCGAGGCGAAGCCGAGGGAACTAGTTTGTCAACTTCCAATACCGAGGGGAGCGAATATCGGTTGTCCACCCGAAATAAACCATGTTATATTTGTTTTACTATACCTCATACCGGTACATATCACCAGTTCACCAAAAGAATCGTATTGCTCAACTTCACTAGTTCAGTTCATTTACAATGCAGTGCAGCTGTAAATACAAATGTAGTTTGTGTACAGCATTCTTTTGTACAGGAGACATCTTTATTGTCCATAAATATTTTCTAGTTCGGCATCATTGAGCTCGCTCGGGAAAATAACGCGCTGTGCAACCATCTATCTCATCGTGTGTAACTCGTTTGGGCGATGTTCGCGCGTGCATACTACACCTGTCCGACAGTTCCACGATTCCTTTGTAAAGCGCATGCGTAGTAGACTGTCGCACGGGTAACCCATGCGACAGTCTACTACGCATGCGTATTTACCCTGTGCGTGAATCCTCGCGCGCGCTTGGTAATCAGCAAAAATAACATCTGGCACGTGATGG